GAGCATTAAAAAATTGCCCATTTGCAAACAGGCGAGATTTCCCTTATCACTGAACTTTGTCCAAAGTCTAAATTCTGGGCTCACCATTACTCACTACGCACAAACACACACGCACAGACACAAATATATATATATATATATATATATATATATATATATATATATATATATATATATATATATATATATAAGCACGAATAAATAAATATAAGTAAGAATAAAAAGAAAAGCTTAAAATAAATTAAAAAACTTAAAATCTAAAGCCAAATAAGTGCTCAATGACAAAATCGACAGAGCATAAATATAATATACTATAATAATAATAATAATAATAATGCCAAATTCGTTACTTTGAGTTTCATGCAGTACCATTTCATTAAGCAGAACTACAGAACCAAACTATACTTTGACATATGGTCCAGTGGTGGGTGCAGAGAATTCTTACCCAGGATGTGTGTTTTTCATCAAATATGTATTCTCTCCACCACTGATTGCCTTTGCTTTGTAGACAGTGTACCTTGTTAAACATGCCACATTAAGAGGGCATTCTTTTTTTACTCTATAGTTACACCTACTTGGTTCTTTTTTACCTGATCTCTCCATTATCCTTCTATTGTGGTTTATTATATTTTTCTATGTTGCTGATATAACTGTAGCTTACTTGAAGATTATTTCTGTTGAATAATTTTTTCAACTTCTGTGAATTAGCGAAATAAATTAATCAATAAATTTTAAAAAACATTTTTCGTTACGCTTTTTTTAATGTTAATATTATTGATTTTCTCGTGGATCTCAAAGGCAGCTTCAACTTTCGAATGTTAAGCTGCCGGTGAGTTCGCTTGCGCTTAATGCTTTTTGGTATATTGTAGCAGTATTATTGAAGATATTCACATTTGAAGAGTTTGTTGATAGCCGATTATAATAGACTTCACTGATAACGTAGCTTATAGTGGTTACTTTCTTAAAATACAACCCTGTTCTTAAAATACAACCCTGTTCTTAAAATAAAGGTGCTATTCAATAAAGTTCACTTACGTCCTGTTACTTTTCATAGATACCTGCGAATTATGGCTTTTGAAGAAACCTTATAGACCCTTTCTCATATTGTCCATCCATCTGGGGCTCGTATTTAGTACAACCATAATTCCACCGTCACTATCAGTTATGTGCTATGCGTGATACACGCGTAGGCGATCATGTATCTTTCGATACCTGACTGACGAGGCGGATTTTTTTTTCCCGCAGTAGGTTGTCATTTCTTTCTACGGTAGACCAGTTGACATCCAAGACTATAGAACACAATCTGTCCTGCTATTTACCCATAGCTGGTTGGGGGGACGTAGAGGATTAATACCATTTCCAAGTGAATGTAATGGATTCGACTGGAATTCGAACTCGGCTCTCCGATTCCTCAATCGGAGCCGCTATCCTTTACTCCTTCGTGTCTCCTCTACTATACGTGACCATATTGTACATATTGACAAGGTCGCTAAGTCGCCATAACCGGTAATCTCTAACCAATTTACAGGCTTCCACAGCCAGATGCCCCCATGGAAATGTCAAAGTTAGGATCCAATCTTTTTGTCCCATATCGCCTGTTCGTGAAAAAACACCGATTTATGAGCATGGATTATGATGTCAATATCCTTCGTTTGTTATATTACAAAAAACAGATCGCGAAATTCCAGCGCAACTTTCACTGAGTTTTCGAGGATGAACGGGTAAAAAACGATAATATCAAAACTGGATGGAGGGGCATTCTTCTTTATATTTTATATCCTTCAAACAGAGTATGGCTTCTTTCTTGTTGCGCCTTAGGTAAACTCCCATCGAGTTGCTCTTTCAAACATTTTATGCATCAGTAGGCAAAAGTGCTCAACCGTGAAGAAGAGCTATTGCACACAAATAGTAAGAATAAATGCTAAAGCTTAAACCACAAATTAAAATGGGAGCTGAATGCACAAAAGACCTAGGAACATTATTGCAAGCCACCGAGAAAAGGTATAAAATCACATTATCACAGAGAATAGAAACAGACATAGAAAGACATGGCCGTAAAATATTTAATGATCCTGCAGTGAATGGAAACGCGAATCATATATAAGAGAAACAAACTGATGACCACATGCCGACGGAAGAATAAATATTTGATTAAAAACACACACTCGAGGTAATTTGTACGGTACAGAAGTCAAGGCTGTTTCATGCTGGATGTAATCGTCAGGCGCCCTGACGATTGCGTCCAGTATGAAACAGTTTGTCGCTTCTGGGTGTTGACTTCAATGTTCAATTATATATATATATATATATATATATATATATATATATATATATATATATATAAAGAAGTATAGTTTAGGGTGTGCTATATTTATGGGATAAAGTGCTCAATATTTCATTGATATTGCTCATAATGAAGAAGAAAGAAAGAAGAAAATAAAAAGTAAATAAAAAAGAACAAAGAAAGAAAGTAAAAAAGAATTTAAATAAATTAATGTGCCTAGTCGGGCTGCGTAGAATTGAGCCCTATTGTTGTTGGTGACATACTTAATAGGCAATTTATTTCTTGCTTCAATTTTATGAATAATCTTTAAAAATCGCTTATGACTTGTATACTCTGTTTTTCAAAGAATACATATTTATTTTAACTTATTGTTTTGAAATGTTTATAATAATTCATTCTGTACCGTACAAGTATTTTTTAGCGGAATTTATCTTTTGAGAAGGTCAAATTAAATTTAGCCCAACTTATATTCAGCGAAAATCAAAAAATGTTTGATGTTCAAGTATATATGTATATATAGACAATAAAATGCAAAATTACCTCATATGGGGAATAGCCTATTTCGGCAGACGAAAATATCGGTTGTCTGTCTTAACCAACCCCGGTGTTGACTGAGATAATGTCCATACAGTTAGTGGGTGGTGTAAGAAGTAGAATTTAACTGTGTAAGCTAAAAACATCAAACTGTTGAAAAACTAATACAGAATTAATCCATTTCAATGTTTCAGTCAGACGAAATGCACGAGAGAGAGAGAGAGAGAGAGAGAGAGAGAGAGAGCGAGTTTAGGGGCGGGTGGAAGGTATTTGTCATAAAGGGAAAAAAGGTTTGTAAAATTAAACCGGAATATTAACCTTATGACATGAGTTTGGGATTATATGAAGAATCAAATATTAATTTAAAATAGGAAATTAAAAGGGGTCTAAAAATAAATTTTAGGGAGATATTAAAATAGGGGAGAGTTTATAAATATAGTGTAAAGCGGTTATAGAGGGGGGGAACTAAAATATAGAAATTAAAATTAGTTAAACTGTCGACATTTGAAGAGTTAGAGGGAGTGAATATTATGGAAATATAGTAGTTAATTAAGTTAAACTTATATAATGAAAATTTGAATTTGTTTTTATTTCGGCATTTTAACAGTAATTCATTCCTCTGATTCAATAGTTGGATTTGTTATTGTATTTTATTATTCTAATCTTTTCTTCTAAACATAAATCACACCTATCTCTAAGACTATTAAGAGAACAAGCGGAACCTAGAATTTTTCAAACTCCATATATATATCGTATACCTAAGAACCTAAAATAACTACATTTCAGAGGATAAGGTAATCCGTAATAAACCCAAACTAAAAAACAACAGGATTTTCTCAACCATGTAACAACAAAAGGAACCTATGCTGTAACCACATTAGACACACCAATTCGTTGACTAGCTCTGTCAAGAAATCAAATTTCAAAATCTACCATGACTCTAACTGAAGAAGTCATAACATAATTTACTTCCTAGAATGCACACTATGCCAGAAACAATATATAGGAAAATCTGAATGGCCCTTTCACTACAGAATTAATAATTATCGAAATCGACACACCATGAAAGATAATTACCTGTAGAAGCCATTTCCGCCTACAAATGAAAAGTTACAGAAAAAGTTCATTTTTTTCATCGAGTTATTCATTCCTGTAGTTCACTGCTACTAACAAGCAGACAATATTTTTCTCCTGATGGTGGCCGAAACTAGTCTAGAAACCTAATTGAAATAATAAAACAAAAAAATTCTATACAACCCAGTGTGTCTGAAAATTTCAACTTTTTAATTGGTTAATAATTTTATTGTTCAAAACACACACACACGCATGCGCGCGCGCACACACACACATACACACACGCATGCGCGCGCACACACACACACTCACGCACACACGAATACACACACACTTATGATATAGAGAGGTATAGCAAGTACAGATATGAGAATTAACACTGTCCACAATGCCTATGTCTAAAAACAGTTCGACATTGAGCAATCTTCCTACACAAATATGGCAAACTTTCGACCATACATACATACATACATACATATATATATATATATATATATATATATATATATATATATAGCGTTCCATATCACGTGACGTCAGCGTCTCGCGACGGACGCTACTTGTAAACAAACAGTAATTTTAATTTATTTGTAACAAACAGTTATTTCTAAAGAAAGATTGAGGTCAATCTGAAATAGGAAATATATATATAAATAAATAAATACTTTCATAAAAAAAACATTATTATTTTTTTAATTTGCAACTTTTTCTATATATATATATATATATATATATATATATATATATATACACGTTTCATTAAATAATATAGACAAGTGTTGTCTATTTATTTTATGTAAAATTTGTTCGTAACATCTGATAAGTTTGATAACATTATCATTAAACGAAGAAAGAAATTCACAATATTGATCCATATGAAAATATGCTGCCTAAATACACACAATATATATATATATATTATGCCTGTATTTATTTACATGTCAAGTGGGAATGTATCTTTCAGAATTGTCCTCTTGATATATCAAACTGTTAGTCTGTCCAATTAATCATGCTTTTTGTTATCTTCAGGAAGAAAATAAGACACATTTGCTAATGTCAACAACGCAAAAATGGTTAGAGAGGTAAACACGAAGTGTATAATGATTTGTTAGAAGACCGGAAGCCAACTGTTCAGTTTTGCCTCAGCGAATAATCTGAAAGTAGAAAGATGCTCTCGTGAAACACTAAAATTTAGTTGATGTATAAGTTATCAGTGGATAAACAATTGAAATATTTGGCATTCAAATGATCACATCTCCAGGTGGAAAGATGCCACTTTCAAGAATAAAAGGCAATCAATTCGCAGGTTGACCTCTCTCTCAAACCTCATGAATATTGCAATTTCGTTTTACTTCATGTAAATTATGGACGATTATGTGATTTTGCCGATCACCTTCGAAAGGATATTGATCACTTCACAGAATTCAGTATAACTTCCTTTTCTTTTTCTTTCTCTATCGTTCTCTCTTTCTCATCCTGTTGATATCTCTCTCTCTCTCTACACACACACACACACACACACACACACACACACACACACACACACACACACATATATATATATAGTTAAGTTGTTATATCTATATTTTTTCGCCCTTTTTCTCTTTCGATTCACTTCCCTCTCTTCCCCTCCCTCTTTGCCATAAAACTCATTTGGATACGTCTGCTTTTTTTTTTTCCATTTTTTTCTCTTTTTTCCTTTTACTTTATTTCCTTTCCTCACTATTCCTATATATCACTTCCTTTTTCTTTAACCACATAAATAGGTCAAGGTTAGGTCTCTCCTCCTACCCCAATATAAAGCTTATTTAAGAGAGATGTAAATTTAACCCTCCCTATACTTTGTATTGTCTCTTTAACCGCCACCTTCACCCTCCCTGTTTAATTACAAAAATTACACTACCCATCAATTTCTAATCACATTTTTCCTCTCATTTCATTGTTGGAAGTTTTACCTGATGATCCGAAATCCTTTAAAAAGGATTTTGGTGAAATAAAATATTGTAATGGTACCTTAAAGTGGTCTGTTTTTCATTAAATATATATATATATATATATATATATATATATATATATATACTACAGTTCAAAAGTTTGAGGGAACCCCAAGTCATTTTTTAAATTGGCCCAATAAGATTTTGTTTTGTTCTTTAAATAAGAGAAAATTATAATACATGATGAAAAAAAAGTGGGGTATGATATTTTATTCGAAATCTTATTATGACAAAAAGAAAAAAAGCATTTTATGATTAAGTTTCGCTCCCATCAAAACATCCTCCTTTAATCTTGATTACTGCAACAGACATTTTTGGCATTCGTTGCAAAAATTCTGTTCATATCTATCTATCTGCTCAAAGTGCCGCGGAAAACTAATAGCTTCGGTATTTAGAGAGAGTGTGTGTGTGTGTGTGTGTGTGTGTGTGTGAGTCTATGTGTGTGTGCATGTGCGCATGTATCACTTACTTGGTTAGAGAAATTATTAATTAAAGTAAATATACCTTTAAAAATAAATCCGCCTACACACACACACGCACACAAACACACACACACACACACACACACATATATATATATATATATACAATTCCGTAAAATACTTGTCGAAAACACAATTATACTTCGACATGAAAACAATAGACAAAACTAAACATCCTTGAAGCATTATACATCAAACAGTTGAAACCCAACCTAAACAAACTCAATTATGGCATCTCTACAAATATTCTTAAATGTCTATAATTGGTAACAGAAGCCATTGGTTTATACCAACGGCATTCCATACTTCATACTTCTCCAATTCACTCTCGCGTGGTCATGTGTGACGTTATAAGATGCGGTGCGATTTTCGCTTCTAGCGTCTTATATGCACGTGTTTATCGTTGCTTAGAAATCATCTATGTAAACATTGACAGACTCTCATCACTGTCTTGTCCGTATATTGCTTAATATGTTGTCATTGACATCTTTGATAATGGCTTATGTAAGCCGAAAGCTTGGATTGTATTAAAAAAAATATGGATCAATATTGTGAATTTCTTTCTTCGCTCAACGATAATGTTATTAAACTTATCAGACGTTATAAAAAAATTTACATAAAATAAATAGACAACATTTGTCTATATTATTTAATGAAACGTGCATGAATGAAAAGATGCTGCCCAAATACACACAATATATATATATTCACTTCCCTCTGCCCCTCTCTCTTTGCCGTAACACTCATTTAGATATATCTGTATTACTGTTGTCTATCTCCTTTCCATTTTTCTTTTTCTTTTCCCGCCACTACCCTCCCATTCCTATATATCATTTCCGTTAAGTTAACCATCTAAATAGGTCACGATTAGGTCACTCCTCCTACCCCAATATAAAACATGCTTAAGAGAAATATGAAATTTACCCCTCTCTATACTATATCTTGTCTCGTTGACTACAACGATCACCCCCCTTGTTAAATTACAAAAATTACATTACCCATCAATTTCTAATCCCATTTTTCCTTTCATTTCGTTGTTGGAAGTGTTACCTGATGATCCGGAGTCCTTCTAAAAGGATTTTGGTGAAATAAATTATTGTAATGGTACCTTAAAGTGGTCTGTTTTTTCATTAATTATATATATATATATATATATATATATATATATATATGTGTGTGTGTGTGTGTGTGTGTGTGTGTGTGTGTGTGTGTATGTAATAAAGTGGACATTGAAGCAAACACCAAGAGGCGACAGTCTATTTCATATTGAAATGCAATCGTCAGGCCATATGCGTTATGTTTTAGCTCGACTATTTATATATACATGTCAGTGACGTTTTCTGGTTTGTCTCTTGTGTTGTTTTAACGGTTATTTAGATGGGCGGTAACGGTTATATTTCAAATTATTCTAGGGCCTAATAGATACACATATATCGCGCCATTCATGGCTCCCAACTCGTCAGGAACAAATGGTAAATAAACCACTTATTACAGTTGTTTTTTTTGCTTTTTTTTTTAAATACTGCGTCTCATGGGAGGAACACTAAATTTTATACCGATTCAAAGTTATTTTAAACTTAATATACTATTGGGATATAAACTCAAAATATAGTGTTGGTGGGGCGATATCGGGAAAAATTGTGCATACTTTAAGCTTATGCCGTACATGTTTTTTCCGTTGGGGAAATAAAATCAGACACACACATCGATGGTTGTGTATTGTGTGTTTATTGTAGTATTGTGTTAAGAATTGTAAAGCGTAAGGAGTAACCAATATTTTTACGAAATGGGGTGGACGCGGTGAATATACGTATGTTTATAAGTAATCTCTATGTTTGAAGGGAGTAACATTGCACTGTATATAAAGTTTTAAAAATATTAGAAGGTAAGATAAAAATAAAATTTAGATAGACAAATATGATTAGAAAGTAAGAAAAAGGAAAAATAAAACACTCACAGAATAAGTAACGCCGTATTTTCGGTTACGTTATCAATAGAGTGTAAGTGAGGTAATCAACGTATAACAAAAATATTAAGGACAGGTGAAAGTATTAAACCAGAAGATAATGGGTTGATTGATGTAACCAGAATCAAAATACTTTAGGAGAGAGATTTTCATATGATTACATGATATCATAAGTTCGTTTCGTTTGTTCAGTAGGATGGTGTTATAGATGTATTTAATATTGATGTCTCTAAGGTTATATTTCTTGCATCGGCCGGTAATGTGTGTGGTTATAAGCGATGAAATTCCAATTTACAACCTTTGTGTAATTATCTGTTTGAATTTCCCAGTAAAATTTGGTGAGTGCCGTGGCATTTGAATATTGCTTACTTGTCATTGACATTTTATGATTGTAATACCGAGTTTTCCAGTGGTTGTCAGTGGAACCAAAATAAAATTTTGTTTCGTCATTATGTTTAATGCTAGCCATATAATTACCACATTTATTCATACATTTATGACTTAGCAGACAGGTACTGTTTTTCCGACAATTACACTTTTTATCAGTATTAATATTGTTACTTTTTAATATTTGTTTAATATTTGTTTAACATTATTATTTTGCCGTGCTCAAGTTTTTTGATGTAGTTGTATTTTATTTTAATGGTCTTGTAATGATTTTGTTGAACAATCGGATATGGCTGAAATGCTTGTGGATTAAATTAAGGAAAATTTTACCAATGCTGGTTTTGGCAGTCTTGTTAAATGGGGGAGGCGCAAAACCAATCATATAGAGTTTTTTATTCATATTCTTATTGTTGCCTTTCTTATAAATATTTATGTATTCTAGATTAAATTTATGTTTCCTTTTTTCTAGTGCATCTACATATTTATTTATTGGTTTATCTACCATTCACGCCTGACGAGCTAGGAAGCCATGAGTTGCACGAAAAGCGTAGGCGTAGGTTTATATATATATATATATATATATATATATATATATATATATATATATATATATAATATCTACCTTCCTTCAGCTAAGCAGCAATAAGTTTAATTCCAAGAACCTGTTGCTATTGTTCATTAAAATCAAGTGCCACTTATTCCGCCTGTTTTTGCCATCTGGCCTCGTTTTCAGTTGGGCGAGTGCGCAAATATCTTTATATATACATATATATATATATATAATTATTTATTTAAAAATATGATTCCAAATCGCTACATAAGAGGTCTCATGTTTCAAAACAAGAGCCGAAAACTTCAATATAATCCTTTAAATTAAATTGAGTTGAAAGTAAAATGGGCTCCGTTCCATCCTCAAGCGAAATGTTTGTTGGAATAACGTATATCTGAAATTTACGTGTTTTAAAATTGAAATCAAAATCCCCATGGTAACAGCTAGGTGAATTGTCTAAATTGGGTAGGCGAGTGTAGGGTGTTTATAATAAGTAGCGGTATAGAGATACTTTCAAGGTGTCAAGTCGGGGAAAGGTGGGGTGTCAAAATGAAACGGAAGATGTATTGGCCATCGTCTAGTTTGCTTGTCTATGGAGATTTATTTATTTATTTTATTTTATTTTATTATGAAAGGGAATTGTGCATATAAAAAAAAAACAACTTTCGTAACGTTATATATATATATTCGGTAAATACGAGTATATATATGCAAGACTCTTCGGTAAAACGAATCGAGTCTTCTCAGCCACAATTAAATTACCCTTCATCCCTGCCGTGCGCCAGTGGCTCAGGGGTAGAATCTTCGACTGACGGGTTTCGATCTTAGCTAGAAGCAAGAGGGCGACTAGTCACACTGATGAGCCGTGATACAGAAAAGAAAGAAAAATTATCATGCTGAGCTTTTAAATAAAAAAATAATTTGGCCCTTATCGCCTGGGGATACCGAAAGTTTGAATCCAAGTTAGCGTGATTGGCTGATCTTTTACACACACACACACACACACACACACACACACACACACACACACACACACATATATATATATATATATATATATATATATATAGTTGTTTATCTATCTGTCCATGTTATCCCTAGCAGATTTAGCATAAAAATAATCATAGAACTTGCTAAACTCATTAATGTAGGGATGTATAGCTCTAAACAACTTCCAATTTCGTGTTCTTTGTAGTTCTTAGTAAAGTTTGTTTCTGTGAGATCACTCCTAATCCCCGTTATGCCATGCATTTACACAAGCTCGTCTCCTACCTTATTCACTGGTTTTCTTCGTCCTGCTTGTTTTCAATATGTCTCCTTTCAAATGTCCTCATCATGTCTCCTAGAAGTTTCAATTGTCTCTTTCTGTTTCTATATAAGAGTCTACTTTTTTGCTTTCATTTTTCCTAAAACTTCATCGTTACTCACGTGTTTATTTCACGAGACTCACAGCATCCTTCTGTAGAACTACTCACCATTTAATTCCATATAGGATGACTGATGCCACAGCATAGTTCTGTATTCTTTTCCTATTTCTTTATTATTTTGCTTAGATTAGCTATGGCAGATTTTGCTATTTCAGTGCCCCTTCGGAATTCGGTATGGCTATCGACAATGTGGGTGATAGATCATTTTTATATTTCCCTGAGGTTTTATTCGATATTTGTATATTTTAGCGTACCCTACACATTGTTATTAATATTATTATTAATTCGAAATCGCATCAATTTACAGTTGAGCTGGCTAGATGTAACCGTAAATTCTATGCTAACACTTTCTCGCACTTCTCACTTGTGCAACTCCCTTTCGGTTCCATGCTTTCCAGCCAACTTTAATCTGCAAAAAACTTAGATTCAATGTCAATTGCTATCTACTGTCCTCCTGATTTCTCTTTCCCTCCCAGCTCATTATTAATATTTCTGTTCTTAATTCTTCCACACCCGGTAACCCCATGGGGTGATCCCGATCAAAAGAAGACTTAACAATGCTATTAAACGCTAAGTGGGGTACGTATTTCGGGAGGCCGTGTACGGCAAATGTTTGAACCTAAAATTGCCGCGTTTCCCATTTTTTCCATTTCCATTTTAACACACGCGTGGCTCCTGCAGTAGGGATTAACTTTCTGTTAAAGGTTACTGTCATTTTCTACAGTATCTTTATTTTTTCTTTACACGCAATAACCTGTCTTATCAAGACCAAATTGAAGAAGCCTCCGCTCAAGAATTCTCGTGATAGGAAACTGATAACATGCTGTCATGGCCAAGAGATATGAAAGGAAAATTTTAAGGAATGAATAATTTAAGGAATGGAAATTTTTATTAGTTTTTTGCTTTTCCAATACATTTTATTTAAATAAATCGATGATTTCATGGCGAACAACATTTTATATGTGACTGGCAAAAACAGGATGAAATAAGAAGCTAGAAAGAATGTGATGCGCCAGCCATTTGCGAGAGTATGGCGTGGCTTGTCTTCAAAATCTTATCTTTTTACCTTGTATTACTTAGATGTCTCAATTTATGTATATATATATATATATATATATATATATATAGAGAGAGAGAGAGAGAGAGAGAGTGTTAGGAACAGACTTAGATAGATAGATAGATAGATAGATAGATAGATAGAATGGAACAGACTTAGATAGATAGATAGATAGATAGATAGATAGATAGATAGATAGATAGATAGATAGATATGAACAGACTTGGATAGATAGGAACAGACAGACAGACAGATAGATAGATAGATAGATAGATAGATAGATAGATAGATAGATAGAAAGGAGCAGACTTAGATAGATAAATAGATAGATAGATAGATAGATAGATATATAGATAGATAGATAGATAGGAACAGACTTACATAGATAAATAGATAGATAGATAGATAGATAGATAGATAGATAGATAGATAGATAGGAACAGACTTAGATAGAAAAATAGATAGATAGATAGAAAGGAACAGACTTAGAAAGGAACAGTCTTAGATAGAAAGATAAATAGAAGGAACAGACTTACACACACACACACACACACACACACACACACACACACACATACACACACACACATATATATATATATATATATATATATATATATATATATATATATAGATAGATAGATAGATAGATAAATAGACAAATATGAATTGAATGACTTACGAGTTGAGGTAGATATGAATAGATTTAGATAGATATGAATATAGATAGATAGATGTGAATAGAAAGAGGTAAATCGATAAATAGACAGATAGAATGATAGAGACGTAGGTAGGAAAATACGACATATATATATATTTAGGCAGCATATCCTCCTTAAAGCATGTATGGTTCAATAATTTAGACATATTATGTCAATTTATTCTATTTTTATCCTCTCATATTAACGGATTTTCATCTACCTAAGATATGTAGATGATATTTTCATCTGAGTGAAAAACTTAGATTGAATACATGAAAAACAAAAACTTACAAAAAAGCTCCGTCCTTAATTTTCACCTACGAACTTAACGATAAAAATAAAATTCCTTTTCTTGTTGTATTGATAGAATAATATATTGTCTACCCCCATATAAATAAAACATGGCACTTTCAACTATAAAAGTGAATGTCCTATTACAAAATAGCGATTATGCAAAATTTAATAAACCGTGAAAAAGTTAACTATTCCACGAAAAAAAATGGAACAAACTCTCATTGATAATGGCGTTTCTAATTAAATTGTTGATGAACTAATTAGAGGAACTATTAGATATATTACCATAAATAAAAAAGGACATAATACTTCTTAAAATAGACCTAAACATATCAACCTACCAATATATACCCCCAATAAGCCCTGTAAAAATAAAACTAATTATATACTATAATAAATTTAAAACAGCCAACTTATTTACATTATTCGGACTGTTATCTTAATCTTCATTGCCATATTCACACTTGTTTCAGTTGTTGTACGCTGCGGGCTTCTTCAGGCGACTGGAATTTCGAATCGAACCTTTTATTTCGTCCACCGGGGGGGTATATTATTGTAGTTCCACGTGCCATGCCTCTTTCGGATGTCTCAGTTATTTCCCTTTAACTCAACTCTCCAAGTTTTTTTTGGTTCACCGCTGCTGTAATCCTGGTATTGAACTCACAACTCTTTGAATCTAGCCAGGAATCCCTTCAATGATTCTACTGGAATATTATTATTATTACTGGACATTGATTTTACCAGTACAATAAATAGGATTACGTTTGTATAAAGACATACATTTTTGTAGATTTTTAAAAATATTTTCATACTTTACATTATTCGGACTATTGTCCTCATCTTTGTCGCCATATTTATCACAACGTTTCGGCCGTTGTATGCTCCGGCCTTCTTCAGGTGGTTGGAATGTCGAACTGAATCCTTTATTTTGCTCACTGTGGTAGTTCCACGTGCCATGTTTGATGGATGTCAGTTATCAGTTATCTCCTGTTAAATCCCCTTTCCAAGTTCTCCACTGCCTTAACTGAGTATTGAACTCACACTCTTTGGGTCCTGTCACTGGATCTGACCAACGCCTTTATCCACTGTGACATCTGTGAACATAATACCTCATCTTAGAAATGTAGACCGATTTTCATACTTGTATGCAATTTTTAAACATAACTGGAAGACAACAGACGTAATGTTGAAATATTATTTAATACCCTAAAGCATTGTGTCTTTTCTTTTTCTTATCTTCATTCGCGTCCTTCTCACAATATTGCATAATATTGCACAATATTGGAAGAGTTACGACGATTATTTCCTTTATTATTGTTATCGTTATTGTTTTATCGCCATTGATTTCCCTTGCATACACATTTCTCTCCGAGTCCAGATGCCTAAAGTCAAAAATCGCATCATAACACTTTCCATTAAGCATTTTTGTAAAAACAAAACCCTAAGATCACAGGCATTTTTCATAGATAAAGCGCTTCGTAATGTGTAAAATGTACTTGTCAGAATCCAGTGTTATATGCAAAGGAGACATCTCATTTTCGAAAATAGGTATAGACTTAAAAGATAGCCTTACGGCCATAATACGCTAAGACATCGGTTCTCGATCGATTCCCAAATTTAAGCAACGCTGAGCCTGGTCTGTACCTAGATGGGTAAATGTTTGAGAATACCAGGTGCTTTAAGCTCCTATGAAAACGCACTATATATATATATATATATATATATACTAGCAGCATGTCCCGGCGTTGCCTGTGCTTGATTCAAAAATCGTACGACTCATACAGCAATCGCTATGACTTGAATTAAAATATTTTTGCCCTTCCTTGCATTTAAAAGAGTTCCCTTTGACGTGCTGATGTTGCTACATGCCTTACTTCTTGCCTATCTCACACTGCGAATTTTTTCTAAGCTCTATACTAAACATTAAATCTGTTACGAACAAAGAACTAAACAAAATGAACACAAAATGATCAGCTTTAAAAAAGGACTCGTAACTGGAAAAACCGAATGAAAAAAGACTGTTAAAAAAAAATACTTTTTCACATCCAACCCAGTTCCACGGAATCAGAATCAACGTTGATTTTAAGCAAGCGAATGAGCCAATTGGAGTAAAGTGCCATGCAGATTTAAATTTTTCCCACTTGTGACGAATGCAGCTATCGATTTTTTTTTGCATACTAGCATACTAGTTAACATTCGTGTCAGTCAGCTGTTGGCTCTCACGCTGGCCAATAGAATCTTCCTGCCTATTCGTGGCAGCCGAATATAGGCTCTCACTCTGCCAGTACAAAATGGCCGCAAACTACATGAAAAATGCCGTAGAAGCATGAAAAAATTGATTATTTCCACTATCGATGGGAGTTGGTCTTGCCCTTCCCGCTAACTTGGAGCATGTGCATGTAAATTTTGGTGCAAATCCGTCGAAAATTGCGGCCGTGCATTCGTCACACACACACACACACACACACACACACACACACACACACAGACACACATCCTGTTTTATATATTGTTTTAAACAAACATTGTTTCGTGTTATTTTTGTTGTTTTTTTTTGTCTTTTTTTTTAATCAAGACGCCTTTCGGCCAACACTTCTTCAGGGACCAACGCGGACAAAATTATTATATCAAATTTGGTATGCCAGTAAGTCAGTTATGCGCCATGCCTGATACACGCTTAGGCATCTGCCTCGTCAGTCATGTATCTTTCAATACATGACTGACGAGGCAGATTTTTTCCGCAGTAGGTTGCCTTTCTGACCAGTTGCCTTCCAAGGTTATAGAACCAGGTCTATCATGCTATTTACCCATATCTGGAGGGAAAAAAAGGATTCATACCTTTCCCAAGAGTATTAGCACATAAGTGAATGTAATGGATTCGACTGGAATTCGAACTCGGCTCTACAATTCCTCAACCCGAGCCGCTTTCCACTACTCTATCCTGAATAGATAACGTAGGGGAAGATTTGAAATACGTCTAAAACATGTAAATTAGTGATTAAAACATACGTAAATTCAAAAGTTGTAAATACTCAACGTGAGTGCAAAATATATATATATATATATATATATATATATATATATATATATATATATATATATATATATATATATATATATATATATATATATATATATATATAATAGATAGCGTTTCGGAATGCGAACTCGAGAGCCGAGTTCTTTTACCAGTCGAGTCTGTTACATTCATTTACGTGTAAATGCCCCTGGGAAAGGTATGAATTCATCTCTCCTCCTTCCAACTATGGGTTGAATAGTATGACTCATTCGGATATTTAGCCTTGGTTGGCAACCAGACTAGAAGAAGAAAAACTATTAATTTAAGACCTGGGCAGGACAGTTCTCTGTATTCAGCTCTTCCGCACAGGCATTCCCCTTTATAATTCAGTCAGTTCGTCAGACATTTCAATTCTAGGAGCTGAATTGTTAGATCCTCATACATGGAAGACGACGGGAGAGTCTATCACATATAAATTTATTGTTATATATTTTATATATAGTCGTGTAGAATTATATTTAAACATTTTAAAAAGTGTATGTTTTATGCCTCTGCTACACTTTATATATACCTCTGTAAACCTAAAGTTTGCTAAAACAAAATGATTATTTTATCTTCACCAATAGAATGAAATATAACATCAAAAGCTTCGCGTTGACTATAAACTTGTTTTTTCTTACAAAATGCTTTAACCAATAATTTATTGTTGTAAATTCAGTGAAAGCCGAATAGTTCCAAATCAGATTGCAACAATTCTACTTTTAGCAATGTCTGGGCACGACATTTTTTTTTATCGTTGTTAATTTTATTATAGCCATCAAAACAGTCATATTTTATGGGAGTGTAAGAAAAATGAATGAAAGAAAGAACGAAAGAAAGAAAGAACGAAATAAAAAGAAAGAAGAAAGGAAATAAACAAGGAAGGAAAGAACGATAGAAAAAAAAGAAATAAAGACGAAAATAAAGAACGAATGAAAGAACGAAAGAATGAAAGAAAGAAAGAAAGAAAGAATGAAAAAAGAAAAGAAAGAACGAAAGAAAAAAGAAATAAAAAACAAAAGAAAGAAAGAACGAAAGAAAGAACAAAGGAAAAAGAACGAAAGAAAGCTAGAAAAATAAATAGAGATGAAAATGAATAACAAATGAAAGAATGAGAGAAAGAAAGAAAAAATGAAAAAAGAACGAAGGAAAGAACGAAAGAACGAAAGAAAGAAGGAAAGTATCGGCGAAAAAAAAGAAAGAAAGAAGAAAACGAAAGAAAGAAAGGACAAAAAAAAACGAAAGAAAGAACGAAAGAATAAAGAAAAAAAAACAAAAGAAAGAACGAAAGAAAGACAGAAAAAGAAACAAAGACGAAAATGAAGAAGGAATGAAAAACCGAAAGAATGAAAGAAAAAAGAATTAAAGAATGAAAGAAGAAAAGAAAGTACGAAAGAACGAAAGAAAGAAAGAAAAAATGAAAGAAAGTACGAAAGAACGAAAGAAAGAAAGAAAGAAAAAATGAAAGAAAGTACGAAAGAACGAAAGAAAAAAATGAAAGAAAGTACGAAAGAACGAAAGAAAGAAAGAAAGAAAAAATGAAAGAAAGTACGAAAAAACGAAATAAAAAATGAAAGAAAGTACGAAAGAAAGAAAGAAAGAAAAAATGAAAGAAAGTACGAAAGAACGAAAGAAAAAATGAAAGAAAGTACGAAAGAACGAAAGAAAAAATGAAAAGAAAGTAAGAAAAGAACGAAAAAGAAAAAAGAAAAAAAAAAAAAAGAAAGAAAGAAAAGAACGAAAGAAAAAAAATGAAAGAAAGTACGAAAGAACGAAAGAAAAAATGAAAGAAAGTACGAAAGAACGAAAGAAAGAAAGAAAGAAAAAATGAAAGAAAGTACGAAAGAACGAAAGAAAAAAATGAAAGAAAGTACGAAAGAACGAAAGAAAGAAAGAAAAAAAAATGAAAGAAAGTACGAAAGAACGAAAGAAAAAAATGAAAGAAAGTACGAAAGAACGAAAGAAAGAAAGAAAAAATGATAGAAAGTACGAAAGAAAGAAAAAATGAAAGAAAGTACGAAAGAACGAAAGAAAGAAAGAAATGAAAGAAAGTACGAAAGAAAGAAAGAAAAAATGAAAGAAAGAAAAAATGAAGAAAAGTACGAAAGAAAGAAAAAATGAAAGAAAGTACGAAAGAACGAAAGAAAGAAAGAAAAAAATGAAAGAAAGTACGAAAGGAAGAACGAAAGAAAGAAAGAAAAAATGAAGAAAAGTACGAAAAAAACGAAAGAATGAAAGAAACGTCGAAAGAAAAAATAAATGAAAGAAAGACAGAACAAAAAGAACGAAAGGAAGGACGAAAGAAAAAAGATTGAAAAAGAAATAAAGACGAAAATGAAGGAGAAATTAAAGAACGAAATAATGAAAAAAAAATAAGAAAGAATAAAAAAGAACGAAGGAAAGAAATAAAGAAAGAAAACAAAAGAAAGAACAAAGTTAAGAAAGAACAAATGAAAGCACGAAAGAATAAAAGAAGAAAAAAAAGAAGAAAAAAGAAAGAAAGAATGACAAAAAGAACGATAGTTAAGAAGAAAGAAAGAAAGGATGAAAGGTGAAAAAGAAAAACGAAAGAAAGAACGAAAAAAGAAGGGATATAATTATCTTATTATAACAAGGGTTATGATGCAAATCCCTGTTAGTGTAAGAAGTTCAAAAAGCATCTAGGCAGACTTGTGGGTGATGAATTATTTTCTAGCCGACAACCCTTTTCCCCAAAACGAATCGTCGTGAGCCTCTCGCTCTATCCTTATTACATGGCAAATGTTCTGATGAACTACATTCCTAAGTTCAACCAGTTCTAACTTTTACAACTAAGACCCACCATACCACGTACACTCTGACGAATCAACCTCATTTCCTACGTATTCCACTAGTAAGATAATGTTTCACTCAAACAGCTTCTTCCCAGGAACCGCTATCATGTAGAATTGACTTCTGAGAGAATGCTCTCCCGATTACAACAATCTTAACCTCTTCAAGTCACAGGCTGACCATTATATTTCCTATGTATATTCATAAACTAAATTATAAACGAAAATAATGGTTTATAATTCTGTTGTCATTTCAGTTTTACTGTATAGTTGCGAAACGTAAGCTCTGTATCATCGCGATATCCAAAAATTCGAACGCTATTACCAGCAACAGTTTCATTCAATCTTGAACATCAAATGGAGTTACTATGTGATCAACATCAAAATCCTGAAAAGAACCAACAGTCAATGCGTGGAATCGCTGATTAATAAAAACCGTCTTCATATGGTCAGGGCGTGTAGCAAGAATGGATGTGTCAAGGTTTACACGTCAAGTATTTTTGAGCCAGCTCACTTCACGGAAAAGACCGCGGGGTTGCGCTCTTCGAAGATACAAGGACCAGCAATACTGAACTTGAGCCTAAATCGTTTGAAATGCATGCACAAGATCCTTGCAAATGGCGATGTTCCATCACTATGGGAACATCGAAGCCACAAGAAGAGAAAAGGAAGAAAACAAATGACAAGAGAGAAAGGCTAGACAAAATTGACCTCGTCTTCCACGAACATTACTATATAGTCAATGTCATCGGCTCTTCCATGCAAGAATTGGTCGACTTAGTCAGCAACGCCATCATCGTAAAGGAAGCAATCAGCAAAGGAGAAATTAAATTTTTCGATACGAAATATAGCCAACGACTGATAAATTACATTTCTTACCTCACTCTCTTATGCACTTAAAACAACCTCATTGATTAACCTTCTAAAGGGTGTTTCATTAAAACGGATTATATATGAGGGTGTTTCATTAAGAAGGATTATATATAAGTGTGTTTCATTAAGACGGATCTAATTCAGCTGTAAATAAATTAGTGTTATTTGTGAAAATTTATTTATTTCTCTATTGGATCATGTTATTTAAGTCCTGACAATTATGTGTGAAAAATAATATCGCCCAAATGTCCGATAAATCTGAAAGAAAAAGAAAAAAATTATTAGACGCTTAAACTTAATTCACATTTAAAATCGGTCCAAGTTATTGGAACATCCTTATTTTCAGTGGCTCTTTAGGAATTGTATTAGGTGAACATTAATAAAAAAAAAAAAAAAAGGGTTGATATCTGGCAGCCAATCTACATATTGAGATTGCGGTCAGTCCGTAAGAATAATCTACCTACTTGCTATATTAGTTCTATTATTCATCATTTCAAACGTTAATGTGACTCTAAAGATAGAATCACTCTGCGTTTGTTCAGGTTGTATACATAAAGAGTCAGTTTCATAGTTTGCATGGGCGCATGAATACATCCGGTTCTGCGATAGCGGCACATCCAATAGGTAACCACTGGCATACCATGTCCTATATTTTTTAGTTTTAAACTTTGTCTTATACCAGAACACTCTCACTCCTTCTGATGGTGTTTTTCTATAGGCTACGTTTATCTCTCAATTTCCCTATAGATTTTTTCCCTGTTAATTATTTTATTACTTGTTTTTCTTGTACGTTCAGAGGCCTCGCTGTCGGACGTAGTTTATCGTCTTACGCAGGACGCTTTTTCTCTATTTGTTCGTTACAAGAATGACAACATTTAAGCAACCAATTAAATAACTTGAGCACTAATTATAGCAAAAACATTGTATGAGTTCAGAGAAAGAAAACGCTTAAAATTTGATATGAAACAGTTTTTTGGTCAGAGCGAAAAAAGACGGATTAATGCTGGAGATGTTTTTATCAGACAGTGAAACCAAGAGGTAGGAAATTAATTTCCGGCTTGTTCCGAAACATATGATTCCATATCTTATAGACTATTGAATGTTGGGTATGTTAATAGAAAGGTCACTCATCATCATGAAAGATTTCCATAAGGAAATGGAATGGAGAAACCATTTGTCTTTTATGACAACTATAGACACTTAAAAATAACCCGGAATGAAATTAAAGGCGGCTATATTTTTAAAAATCACTTTCGAAATTCTTGTATAGACGGCACTCCCTATGCGAAGAATTGCTGCATATCTGAGAAGGCTAAAAGCGAAAGAGACCAAACAAGAACGAAGCAGACAAATGAAATTGGATTGGAATGAATTAGGTTGACTTTTATTTTATTAAACTTACTCAGGATTTTTGGTTTATTCATTAAAAGTGAGTTTCATTATGTTGTTCATGATGACGGTCGTCTTCGAGTATAGAATCCAGAGGTTAGCAGTGAATATTTTGAAGACAGTAGGAAAGCGTTGTTCAGGTTAGCAGTGGATATTTTGGTAAAAGTAGCAGAGCGTAGTTCGTCCTTCTGTTTCTCTTCGCCTG